TTGCTGAGAGTGTAATCTACACCATCCTCCAGATCATTTATGAAGATATTGAACAAAACCGGCCCCAGGACCGACCCCTGGGGCACTCCACTTTGTCCACAAATCCTAAGGTAGTTGCTGAAATCTTAATCCACAAGATGTGTTTCATCCCAGCCAGACTACTGCAGTTCTGGGTTTGCAGGCCTTGCAATTACTGTTCCTTGGTGGCAACTTCTATAAAACCCAGCAGACTGATTACTTGGCCTACATTTTGCCTTCCAGCATCCTGCCCCATATTAGAAGGGCATTCACTGAAATACAGCACTCGGTAGATTTCCGGTATGCTTAGTCGTCAGGTGTCTCAGGCCTCTGAGGAGATCAACACATCACATCCTCATGTACCCTTATTTCTCTAGATCCCAGGTTCTGCCTGTTTCTCATTGCCTTTGAGGTGTGACTCTGTAGCATGACCAGCAGCGAAAAAGAATTGCAAGAAGAAGATGGAAGAGCATCCACTGTCCAACAGCCACCGCACAACAGGGGAGCTGGCAGCTGCTGCCTTCATAGAAACACTCATGCTCTGGAAGGAATAACAGAAAAGGGTAGGATGACAATTCATTGTGAGCTGGTGGGGGTGTTACACAACACCTTCTCTTTACAACTGCTAGACTCCCACGTGAGATTACCTTTTGCCGGAATTCTGGTTTCTCTTCTTGTTTAATACCTATGAAGAGTTTTCATGTTTTAGGACTATTTTAATTAAGTCTCTAGGGCTTGGATCTTGAAGCCATCACACCCAGGGGAAACTCCCACAGACACTGGTGCTGTGTGTGTCTCAGAGGACAGAGCTGAACAACCATAGCATCAGGCCACAGGTTGTTCCCCACTGTCAGCTTCCAGATGGCACCTCTGTCTTCCAGGCAGGAACGGGCAGGCCCAGCATGAAATCCGGGCCCCACTGACATCAAAGGCTGTTTTGCCATTGACTGCAATGACTCATTCATTGATTCATTCATTCATGCAATGAGATTCAGCTCTCAGTCACTCCAGCCTAAATGAAGCTGGACAGCAATGAAGTACTCAGAATCTGGCCCTAAAGCCATGTTAATTGTGAGCTATGCGTCTTGGCTGTGCAATTCTTTATGTCGTCCATCCCCAATAAAGGTTGTGATTTAGTTCTAAAGTTTGATTGCACTGGTAAAAAAAACTGAACTGGAAATTTGCATTGACTGTGTGCACCTAGTGGGAACAGGCCCAGCTTCAGCAAAGCACTCAAACAGGTTTTTGTGTGCACGCGCTTAAATCCCTCCCTGTTCACCCCCTCCTGAAGTCAATGGGATTTTTTTGCAGGATCAAGGCCAGAGAGAAAGGATACCTCCCCCTCCACACACACAATTTGCTGCCTGATTTAACAATCTGATGCTAACATTTCACTCCATCCGGAGGTTCTGCTGCTCGTATTATTGAATGATGTTCCCCTAACCCTTTTTCTTGATAGGCAGCCTGTGTATTAAAACACTGCACTCCATGACAGACAGAACCCCAAGGCGGGATTACAAGTAATACGAAGTCGCTGGTCTAGAAGAATGTCATAGCTTTGATTACAGCAACTGTAGGCAGGCAGGGTGGTCTAGGGAAAGGCCTGTGGAGCTGCAGGTTCTTGGGTCTTAATTGTGATTTAGCCACTGCGTCACTGCGTTTGGGAAGACATTCGGATCTCCTTGTACTCCACTTAACCCAGCTGCACGACTGCTTTAAAGCCTGGTTTCACTCTACAGCGGATACGACAGGTCAGCTCACCTGACTCCCATTAGTCAAACAGTAACCCCATGCACAACTTAAAAAAAGACAGGTTACAGTGAATTTAACATAACAGATGGGGGGTCTGATATTGCTCCCACTGACTTCATTAGGAGAAAGTTTACCCTCACCCCCATGTCAAGTGCCATACAAACACCCTTAGGTGTAACATGTCTTTCTTGTGAAAAAGCTTTGAGATTTTACATATAATCTAAGACTGGAGAACCAAAGGGTCAAGTTTTACAGGAAGGAATAATTCATAGTCAAACAAGTGACAAGAAACCAAGTCAGGCCCAATTTTTTTTAAATGTAAGTGAATCTAGTCAGCCATGGTATTCAAACAAGCCAGCATTTCACGTTTGCAAAAAGACCAAACACATTTATACTAGATGCCATTGCTATGTAAGTGTTTAGTCTTAGAAAAGCGCCGCTGTTTTTACTGTGCCTAGCACCACGTAAATGTCAAATATTATGTTTAACCAATCTGTTAACGGACTCACCATCATCTAATGGCACACACAGATCCCTACGTAAAACCAACAGATTCAAACTTGTTAGCCGAAAGACAAAAATGTAATTCCACTGGCGGCTCACTTTACCCAAACACACACAGAAGTAGAAGAAAAATTTATTTTAAAAAAATGGTCATTACTGTCGGTCTGCTTTTAAAATAGTGACTATTGGAGGCAGACAGTTTATAAAAAAAATAATCAGCAGCTGATAAATCTCTGGAACTGGGTGGTCTTTCTACTACAGTGAACCACACTTCAGACGACTTTTGCTCAAGCAAAATCTGCCTTCAGCAACCCAGCCACACCAGCATCCCAATGTGGACACTTTTTTTAAAAAAAAAAAAGTTTCATTTGATTCAAATTAGTTCCATCTACCCAGTCTAAAGATCTGCGTAGTTCTGTCATTACCAATCCATCTCCCACTGATCTCAGTCTGCTTTAAAGTTGGACATAGCTGAAGAGCACCAGAGAAACAGAATATATTCTCAAAAAGAAAAGGAGTACTTGTGGCACCTTAGAGACTAACCAATTTATTTGAGCATGAGCTTTCGTGAGCTACAGCTCACTTCATCAGATGAAGTACTCCTTTTCTTTTTGCGAATACAGACTAACACGGCTGTTCCTCTGAAACCAGAATATATTCTAAATATCAAGCTTGATGGAGAACATTCCTGAAATTTTATTAAAAATGTGCACGTGGATCCCATCTGGTTTATCCTAAAACTCGTGCTTGGCTTGTAAGAGACCCTTTGGACCTCAGGGTCAAGGCTATACTTCGAAAAATAAGGTAGTAGGTCAGGTGTCAGAGTAGCGGCCGTGTCAGTCTGTACCCACAAAAACAAAAGGAGGACTTGTGGCACCTTAGAGACTAACCCATTTCTTTGAGCATGAGCTTTCGTGAGCTACAGCTCACTTCATCGGCTGCATACAGTGGACAATACAGCGGGGAGATTTTATATTTATATTTTATAAAATCTCCCCATTGTATTGTCCACTGCATGCATCCGATGAAGTGGGTTTTAGCCCACGAGAGCTTATGCTCAAAGAAATGGGTTAGTCTCTAAGGTGCCGCAAGTCCTCCTGTTCTTTTCCTAGTAGTTCAGTTAAGCTGGACACAGAGAATTGACTAATTATAGCATTGTTCGTATCATTAAACCCTGTTAGTTAGCAAAAACAGCACATCCCCAGTCTGACTGCAAAACTCTAGACCAAAAAAAGGACATGCAGGGGCACCAGAACCCTTCAAGAAGGGTTGTTTGGGGTTTTTTTTTTTAAAATTACATTATTGCTTTATCCTAAAAACACCACAGAAAGAGGAGTGGAGAAAATGAAATCCTCCTTGCGCTCAGACAGTTTTCTTTTGTCCTGAGACCAGCACATTATTCCAGGCAGTCAGGAACGTTAACACGGTTCTATACAGGAATAAAGCAGAGTTCCCTTCAAAAAGCACATTCCAGCTGCCACACCACCGCACCCGCCCGCAAACAGAAGCGAATTTGGCTGCGCGCTTCTAGATCCCGTTTGATCTTTGTCACAAACACTCAGCTCCGGTGGTTCCGCCTCCCCCGGTAAAATGTTAACAAGGGGGTGAGAAAACCAGGAAACCTAAACCGAAAAAAAAATCCTGCAACTCGCCTTCGCGGTTCAAGCAAAGGTCACCAGTAGCATTTCCCCAACAGCTGGCCGGTCAAACGGGCAGGAACCAACTGGAGCAGACAATAAACCCGCTGTCCGCGGGCCCACCCTAAGCCACAGGCGTGCTGCCGAGGCAGCCTCCAGCCCCCAAAGGGGAAGGAAGGCGGCGGAGGGGTCCTTTGATCCCCCCCCCCCCCCAGGTCTGCAGGCTGGCTGGGCGGGCGAAAGAATGAATGGAATGTGCCCGTGTGAACGGAAGAAAGGAAACGCAGGATCCGCCCCCCCGCACGGCACCCGGAGCCTGCCTGCCAGTCCCGCAGCCGACGAATACAGCACAGCCCATGGGTCACACTCAGCCCCCTGCGAGCCTTGCAATGTGTGCACGGCCCCCCCCTCGCCCCGCTGCACGGGGCTCCAGCCCCCCCCGCTGCACGGGGCTCCAGCCCCCCCCCGACTCCCCCAGCCCCCCCCCCGCTGCACGGGGCTCCAGCCCCCCCCCCGACTCCCCCAGCCCCCCCCCCGCTGCACGGGGCTCCAGCTCCAGCCCCCCCCACACCTCCATGCACGAGGCTCCACACCCCCCCATGCACAGAGCTCCACACACACACCCAGGCCCCCCCCCCAGCTCCACGGGGCTCCCCCCCCCACACCTCCATGCACGGGGCTCCACCCCCAGCCCTCACCCCGACTCCCCCAGCCCCCCCCAGCTGCACGGGGCCTCCCCCCCCACCTCCATGCACGAGGCTCCACACACCCCCCACGCACCCCCAGCACCTCCATGCACGGGGCTCCACACACACACCCAGGCCCCCCCCCGCTGCATGGGGCTCCCCCCCCCACACCTCCATGCACGGGGCTCCACCCCACCCTCACCCCGGCTCCCCCCCCCCCCCGCTGCATGGGGCCTCCCCCCCCACACCTCCATGCACGGGGCTCCACACCCCCCCACGCACCCCCAGATGAGGGGCTCCACACACACACCCAGGCCCCCCCCCAGCTCCACGGGGCTCCCCCCCCCCCACCTCCATGCACGGGGCTCCACACCCCCCCCACGCACCCCCAGCCCGGGCGCACCTTTGAGCAGGCGGATGTCGGCGCGCGCCGTGTCGCGGCGCAGCGCCCGCACCACCAGCCACACGGTGCTGTCCTCCCGCAGGCTCTCGGCGCGGGCGCTGCGCTCGTCGTAGAGCACCACGGCGGGGAAGAGGCCGGCGCGCAGGCGGGCGCGCACCTCGCCCTCGGCCGGCAGGATCTGCTCCAGGCTGACGGCGCCCTTGGCGCGGCGCCGCACGATGCTGTTGCAGCGCACGCTGAGCGCGCCGCGGATGTGGCCGGCGCCGTGGGCCAGGAAGGGCCGGCAGTCCAGCAGCAGCGGGCAGCGCCCGGGGCCCGCCTCGCGCCGCAGCAGCCGCCGCAGCGCGCTGCCCTCCACCTCGCGCAGCTCCCCCATGGCGCGCGGGCGGGCAGCGGGGCCGCGCGGCCGGGAGCCCTGGCGGAGGCGCTCGGGCCCGGCCCTTTACAGCGCCCGGCCCCGCCCCGCCGCCGCGCGCCGGCCGCTGAATGGAGCGCGGGGCCCGCCCGCCCCGCGTCACCGCCATTCACAAAACCCGGCGGGGCGGAGGGGGCGGCGCTGCTCCGGCTGGTGAATGGGGCGGGCGGGCGAGCGAGCGCCGTGTGAGGCCGCTGTCCCCGGGGGCGCGGGGCACGGCTCCTCTGCTGGGGGCCCACAGGGCCGGGGGCCGGCTCCTCTGCTGGGGGCCCTCGGGGCCAGGGGCCTCTGCTCTGCTGGGGGTCCTCGGGGCATGGCTCCTCTGCTGGGGGCCCACAGGGCCAGGGGCCTCTGCTCTGCTGGGGGTCCTCGGGGCTGGCTTCTCTGCTGGGGGCCCATAGGGCCAGGGGCTGGCTTCTCTGCTGGGAGCCCATAGGGCCAGGGGCCTCTGCTCTGCTGGGGGTCCTCGGGGCACGGCTCCTCTGCTGGGGTCCCATAGGGCCAGGGGCCTGTGCAGGGGTCTGTAGTAGGGACGAGCCTGTGGGGCACAGCTAGTGTGGAGAGCACCATGTGAGTGAGTGGGTGGGAAAAGGGCAGACACTTGAGCTGCAGAACAGCCCCTCCACGCCAGGCAGCCCCATGTGTCGAGTCCCACGTGTAAGCTTCCCTACCTAGCCCTTCAGCAGGGATCACCTCCCGTACAAGGCCAAGCAGGTTGAAAACCCACTCCCTTCCCCATGGAGGATGCACCATCCCTGTTTGTTTTTCTTGAAATAGCTCTCCTTCTGCATAATGCTTCACTATCCCATACATCGCAGCTGAGTAGGCCAGCATCATCCTTGTCTTTTGCCACAGATGTCCCTATTTATAGCTTTCTGCTGTTGGCAGGTCTGCAGTGCTGGGGGGAGGGGAAGATGTTTTCCTCCCCAATCATTCAGCCCCCACATTGCCCGAGGAGCTGGCATGAATTGCACCATAGTGACCCTGAAAGGAATGATTTGGGTATCATTTTTTTAAAAGCAATGGATGCTAAGAGATCCTTTGCATGGCTGGGCTTTTATTTTTAATGTGAGAGTGGATGGGGAATTTCATTTGGAACAAGACTGTCATAGGAACTCTCCTCCTGACATTGCTTGTAATGCCATGGATGAATGATGTCAGCTTAACCTAGAAGGAAGCCTAAACTGTGAGATTTAGTGATTTTTTTTAAAGGACAAAAAGCTGTATTCTGGCATCCTTCCTCATACCCATGTGACTGGGATCCTGGCAACAACTAGGCTTCCATTTCCATGCCCCTTCTGTGGGGAAATGATTATTTCAAACAAATAAACCAGTGGACCGAGTCTGTGAGCATTCCACGCACATACTGAAATGCATCTGGCAGGTCTGTGTTTTTTCTTGCTATTACCAAAATCAGATTAATAAAATATCAGTGACTGCCAATATGTTCTTAGGAGTTCAACAGCTTTTCAGGAGGAAAAAAGAGAAACACTTAAGGTTTTGTTTGAGAATGAAACGCAACCTCTTTTATATTTAAAATGTACATGCAAAACTAATGTTATTGTAACTGACCTTCCCTGGCTATCCATATTCCTTCTGTATATTTTGGGACATTTCCTGAACCCATTTGGAATGGTGAGATCATGACATACTGGAATATTAGAATACCACTTTAATCACATCATGAAACATCATGTTATAGACTAACCAATGGATACGTTAATTATGGGGTGGAGGTTGGAGAAAAGCTCAATTCACCAGAGTCTCGGGTTGGAATTATGGCACCATAATGCAAATACTTCCTGTTTTCTTCCCACTAAGATTAAGGCATTGATCCCCTATGGCGCCCCTTCCCTTCTCTTCATTATTCTGTCTCTTCCTTTCACCTGCCTCCCATGGGGTTTTATCTAGGGCCGGACAAACATTGGAGGGGCTTGATTTACAAGGGGCTCCTGAACAGAACCCAGCAGGGTGGATCTGCTTGAAAATTTTCCTCGGGAGCAGTGTTTTGTTGAAAAATTGCCATTTTGTTGCAATTGAAACTTTCCGGGGGAGCATGTCAATGAAATTGTGTTTTACATTAGAAGTGGAGCATTTTGATCAGGTTGAAATGTTCTGCTTCATCTCTTCAGAACAGGATGTAGCAGGTTTTCAGTTCAAAGTGACTCTGCATCATGACAATTATATTATAAAGTAAAAAAAGGTGAAAGTTAAAATTGAATCAAAATATTTTCATAGAATCATAGAATCATAGAATATAAGGGTTGGAAGGGACCCCAGAAGGTCATCTAGTCCAACCCCCCTGCTCAAAGCAGGACCAATTCCCAGTTAAATCATCCCAGCCAGGGCTTTGTCAAGCCTGACCTTAAAAACCTCTAAGGAAGGAGATTCTACCACCTCCCTAGGTAACGCATTCCAGTGTTTCACCACCCTCATAGTGAAAAAGTTTTTCCTAATATCCAATCTAAACCTCCCCCACTGTAACTTGAGACCATTACTCCTCGTTCTGTCATCTGATACCATTGAGAACAGTCTAGAGCCATCCTCTTTGGAACCCCCTTTCAGGTAGTTGAAAACAGCTATCAAATCCCCCCTCATTCTTCTCTTCTGCAGGCTAAACAATCCCAGCTCCCTCAGCCTCTCCTCATAACTCATATGTTCCAGACCCCTAATCATTTTGTTGCCCTTCGCTGGACTCTCTCCAATTTATCCACATCCTTCTTGTGGTGTGGGGCCCAAAACTGGACACAGTACTCCAGATGAGGCCTCACCAATGTCGAATAGAGGGGAACGATCACGTCCCTCATTCTGCTTGCTATGCCCCTACTTATACATCCCAAAATGCCATTGGCCTTCTTGGCAACAAGGGCACACTGCTGACTCATATCCAGCTTCTCGTCCACTGTCACCCCTAGGTCCTTTTCCGCAGAACTGCTGCCTAGCCATTCGGTCCCTAGTCTGTAGCTGTGCATTGGGTTCTTCCGTCCTAAGTGCAGGACCCTGCACTTATCCTTATTGAACCTCATCAGATTTCTTTTGGCCCAATCCTCCAATTTGTCTAGGTCCCTCTGTATCCTATCCCTCCCCTCCAGCGTATCTACCACTCCTCCCAGTTTAGTATCATCCGCAAATTTGCTGAGAGTGCAATCCACACCATCCTCCTTTGTTTGACTGAAACAAAATTATTCCTCCCCCCCCCAAAAAAAAATTTCATTTCATATTAATTTTTGTGCCAATGTGGAATGAAAACAAATGTCAAAAATGCAGAATTTCCTGTGAAATCCTGCAGGGCATGATAAATAGCAAGTGGCCCTTGGCCAGCCCTGGTTAGTTTGCTTGGAAGTCCAGGTTCTAAACAAGACCAAACTGCCACCCTCTGATGGCTTTGGGAAAAGGCCACCCTACAAGTAAGAAGAAAAAGGAGTACTTGTGGCACCTTAGAGACCAAGGTGCCACAAGTACTCCTTTTCTTTTTGCGAATACAGACTAACACGGCTGTTACTCTGAAACCTACAAGTAAGATTTAGGCTGGGGCATGTCCCAGGGACTGAGGGAAATGGTAGACGAAGGCACACCCAATGCAGAGGGGTTTTGTACGCATTCACATACCTGGGCTGATTGTTCTTGGGTAAATAGTGCTGGAGAGTTCAGAATAGAGTTCAGTTCTCTAGCCAAATGATGTGGCTTTGCTCCTTATATCATCTGTAGGTGGCAACCAGAAGGCAACAAGGTAGTGTGTGCAGGCTTCTATGAAGACATTCCTTCCCACAGAGGGCAGCGTTTGGAAGGACAGGTTAATAGGGGATGTGATTCTCTACACGCTCAGCAGTGATTACCTGTGCAAAGTGGCTGTAAAGCGCGATCACTGAGGTCTGTGAATGGAGAATTCTGTTTTGGTAGCATTTACACTCCTGCCAATAGCAGCACATGGCGCAAGGCAGTGAGGAGTCAGGCCCATAGAGGACTCAGATGGTTCCCAAGTCCCAGACACATGGTGTGGATAGGCTCCCTTCCCCCATTTCCCTGCCGCTGCCCACTTCCCTCTTTGACAGCTCCTGCCTGCTACACTGTTGACTTCTGTGCTAGCCAGCTGGGTTTGTCTTACCCTTCAGCAATTTACCATTTGCTGCCATAAGAGTGCTTCCATTGATAAAATATAGTCATTCGTTTACGTGCCTTGGGTGCAGTGTGTTTAATACCCCCAAGGAATGTATTCCATCCCACATCCTTACAATTCATTGTAAGACGAAGTTATTTTGTCACATACACAAAGTGCAACTTTGTGAGAGGAAGCCAGGAAAGAGGAAGTCTACTACTACAGGTACTGACATACAAGATACCTTGAGGCCTTGCCCTACAAAGAGTGACAGAGGGTCGTCACATTTCCCTTGATGTCCACAATAAAGCCCCATCCTTAAATCTTGAGCTTTGAAAAGAAAAAAGTAAAATTTAGTGTCAGATTTCAATATAATTTAAAAATTGTATTCAAATACAAGCAGAATTTAATGTTAGTTTGGACCATAAACTGCACCTTTCTGCTCAGGAAACTCCCACTGAAATCAATGGAAGGTTCAGTTAAAGAATTGATGCTAAGATGTAGGCCTTTGTGCAGGGGAATGTTTGACGCTTGAATACACTGAGGAATCCTGCTTCTTTTTGTAGGAAATGTAGACTACATAGTCCCAGCATGTGCACACTATGACGTCATGTGGAGTACATCCAGGTGCATGTTACTATCTTGGACACCTTAAATACTAATTACATCTGGTTTTATATTAAAATGTCATGAAACAAGGAGTTCTCGCTCTGTACCTGACAATTATGGTGTATGACTGGCTCCCATAATTGCCTCAAGGCGATTCACAGAAAGGTGTGTGGGTGTGTGTACGTGCTTGCTCAGCTCCCAAATTTACAGGGAGCTGTAGGATGAGCCTGTTTCAAATGTCAGTTCCTGTTTTAAAATACACATTCTAGAAAGTGAAAGGTA